ACGCTCTTATTCATACGGTTTAGTTTTAGGTAGTCCTGCGAGGAGAAGGGAGTTGGACTCGATGATCCGTATAGGTCCCTTCCAACTTGAGATATTCTATGGTTCTGTGGTTAAGTTACTGTGTTATACAAGTTCATATAGTTAATGTTAGCACTGTCACAGCATTTAAGTAACTCCAGCTGACTTGTTCAGAAAACCCAGTTTCAGCTTCGGAATGCTGCACTCACCAAACTTTTGTCATGAATTGTGTAGGAGCAGAATATGAGACAGTCAGATCCATAATAATCAAATATGTGATCTGCAGCAAACATGGAATTTAAGCATACCTAGCCAGACTGCAAGGCTTTTAAATGCATTTCATAGCATGTAAGGCTTTTATATCATTCCAGTATAGATTAAGCAACAAATCAAAGGCTTTTAGCTATGGTTGGTTTCATTTAGAATAATGGTATTAATACCATTAATAAGCATGGTGAGGTTTTTTGACAGCCAAACAAGCCATCTTGACAATTGTAAGCTGTCCATATTTAGGCATTTGAGACAGTTTGAGTTTTTAGACTGGCTTAACTACAGAGGACAATACAGACCATATGTGACAGCATCCTTTCTCTGTATCATTCCGCCACTCCTATATTTATGGAGTTTTCTCCAAGGCTTTTCTGACAGCTACACTTGCTAAGGCAACTTGTTTGGTCAGTCAGCAGAGTACATATATGCTATGCAGTTTATTCAGTAGCATGTTCAGGCTGTTTGTCTTTCTGGCTGGAATTTTTCTCCCCTTCACCTTTGCTCTCAGCACACTGAATGCCAGGCAGTTGTGGGTAAAAGGGACCTACCAGCCAGTTGAGTGGCGTGTTGTTAACAAGATAATCCATCACATCATCCAGAGACTCCTTCATTTTCTTCAGCTGTCCTTTGCTAGTGGTAAGAAAGCTGTCTGATAATTCCTGGAAGGAGGATGCTGACCAAAAGCTCTGGTATACATCACCTGCCATTGACCCAACACTGTAAACCTGATTCTGCACATTCTGTGGCAGCCCCTGTAGGCTTGAGACCAGGGTGAGGCAGGTGGTCTGAAGCTGCTGAGTGAGGCTCCGTGCAATAGCCAGAGTTCTTGACTCAATGTGCTGTAAACAAAAAGTATAACAGCATCTTTTTAGTACAATTTTTAGTATCTTTTTATGACTATAGCAGCTTTATGTTGCTCAAGGTACATAAAGAAGCAAGGTAAAAGGGGATGTAAGTAAAATAAAGGTATAGGAGATAATAAAACAGGTCTTAAGTTTGAAGAGTCAGAGACTTGAAACTACTTGATATTTCTTCAATGTTCAAGTATTGTGGAACAGAAACATTAGTAGGTTCTATCCAGCAACAGATAAGCAAGCTCTTGTTTCAACACTGGATAACAAGTCACAGCAGGTAAGCATATTGTAATCAATGAATCAATGTCGTTTAAAGCTATGTGTAAGACACTGAGTCTGTGCCTAAGACTGCTGTACGCTGAGAAGTTGTTATTTCTGGTCTGGCCGTATAAGATAAGTGAGTCCTAGTTGATCTAGATCTGGATATTCCAACACAGGTTCACATGCTAAACGGGATGAGCATTCTCTTGAAAGGAGAATGAACGCCAGAGTGCTTGTAGGAAGTAGTCTCATTTAAGAGTTTGCGTGTCCTCTACTTTTCATAGTAGTCACTAGTGAGCTGCCCTGAGCTTCAGCATTCAGATTCCACATTTGCACAATAAGCTTCTGTGCTGTTAAGATGCTGTGCACTTTGGGGACTGTTAGTTTGCCACTGACAGTGTACAATCCATTTATTTCTTGTTTACATCTATTTACCTCAGTGCTATGTGGTTCATCACCATCATTTTGGCCTGTATTTTTCTTCCATTCTACCCAGGATTGATAAAACTTTTCCTGAGCATCAAGAAGTTTCTGATTGGCACTATTCATGTTCTTTCTGGCATACTCGATCTGAAATACAGCCAAATAAGGAAGTAAAGCAAAGAGTCTAAACAGTTCCATTAGGGCTACCCTACCTTACCTGCTTTATAACCTCCTTTTTAAATACTTTAAAAATTCAGCATAAAAGATTTTGGGGAATGTAAGAGTGAGTTCCTTCTCTTCAAATAAGAGAAAACTAGAAGCAGGTTTGAGATGTTATGTATTGTATCCCTCTGTCTCAACTATTTCCTTCTCCCCCACTAGCATCCTACACAAGGATTTGGAAGTATATAGAAGGCCATCACTCTTTAGGCACAGTTTGTCCTGTACATAAAGGTATGTTGTTAGGATAAGACTACTGAAGTACCAAGGAATGCTCAGAGATACCCACAGTAAGAAGAGCAAGCCCATTAAAAAAAATGACATTAACAAAAAGAACTTACGTACTGAAGTGTTACTACATTACAAGACACTTTCGTCACTGAATGAAGGCTGTGTCAAACCCAGCACTCTAAACCAGGAATATAATTTTAAACATATCACTTCAATTTCTGCAGTGCTTAGAATTACAAGCAACTGCTTGTTAGTTTACAGCTCAGCCTGATTTAGAACCTCTCCTGAATGGTGGTGAAAAGCTCTGACTGGGAAATGCTTTATATTTAGAAAATGCACTTAGCTTGAGAGCGCAGTTCCAGTTTTCCTATGTTGTTTTCTGCACTCTAAAACTATGCCAACATTTGTTTTTTATGCCTCAAGTGAAAGCTTAAACTTACCAGACTAACAGTGTGGTGGAGCTGAGAAATTGTCTCCTGGCTTTTCTGTTTAGCATCTCTAACTTTGTTTAAGGCTTGCTGGTAGGCACGTGTGCGGACCTTTGAAGACAGGGATCCTAGTCTAACGTAGTAGCTTGGCTTTTGAACTCCAACTTCAAAACCTTCAACTTTTGCAGCTTCTTTCTCTAGATATGTAGAAAGGAAGCAAATTGACCACTGGAAGAAAACTTAAAAGATCTGAGGCAATTTTATTTGCTCAGTAACGGCTGAATACTGGACTTGTTTAGTAGTCCTTTAGCACCAGGATAGGTTGATAGATCACCACAGAAATCCTTCCTTTCACTCTGCTTCCCTGTGAAGAGGCTATTACAAGCATGTGCCCCCTCCCCACTATAAGTAGTAAATAGATGATTGCTTGCTTCTCTCCAATGCAAGCATTCCAACAAAATTAAACCTTGAATTGTTCTTACCTAGTTCTGCTTCTGTAAGTGGGAGATACTGGTCTACAAGGGTCTCTGATTTAGTGAGAGCACTGTCCACTCCACTGCTCACCATTTGCACCACACGACTTCCCAGGACAGTGTTAATGCTGCCATTGACAACTGATTTGGTCATTTCTACGCTGTCTTGCATTGCTTCTCTAGTCTTGCCCACAACGCCAGTGATTGTGTGAGCAACAGTTTCCTTGGCACCAGTCACAGTGGTTGTTACAGCTTCTCTGGCTCCAACAACTACATCCTTGGCATTGGCGACAACCTGCCATAGGAAACAGGTTGATTCACTAGAAATGTTTTTAATGAGAGCTACATAATGAAGGACATATACATTTATGTTAAAGCTTTTAGAAGTATTGGTTATCTAGGTGAAATGCTGCCCTGAAAACCTATGTACAAGACAAAACAAAATATGACTGCCATGCATCCTTCAGCTCAAAACACTTCAGTCAATGTAATTCAGGCACTATTTGCTTCACACTGAGCAGGAAAAAGACAAAGACTCAAATTTTAAGAAAGATGCCCATCAGTGAACAGCAGCTATAGATAAATGTGTCAAACGGTGGGTAAATTTAAAAAAAAAGACTTAATGGCCTCCCAAAGGCAACAGACAATTCTACAGAAACCCCTTTTACTTCCTCATTGTGGCTAAGCTGTGCTTCAGGCGTGGCTTATTGAAATCTGCCTCACTGTATTTAAGTGATAATAGAAAAGAATGGTGTGTAGTTCTTCTGCTTAGCATACGTATATGGAAAGAACTTACCTTGTCAGTGGGTTGATTCAGTATAGGCAGTCTCTCTTCAATTTTGTCTAGACCTATACATGCATAGTTGTTGGCAACTACAACTATAAAAGAAATTACAATAGTCAGTTTTATTTTTTGTTTTTCTCCTTAGTATAAATAACTCCAATTGAGAATTCCTTTTGAAACAGGTCTCATGCAATAACACTCTTAAAGTAACTTCCTCCCCTTTTCAGTGAGATTTGAAGTAGCAAAGCCCAAGAACAAGGCAGGTTTTCAGTGCTAGAAACAGGTTCACTTGCAGGCAGAGAAAATCCATTTGGTACTTCACAAGCAACTGTTAGAACAAGCTGAAGCACCTGGCCTCCTGCCACTTTGTGAAACCAGGCTCCTGGTTACAACAGCCTTGTGACACAGTTGCCAAATTTAACCACAAGTTGTCCTCCACAGGAGAAAGTACAAAGCAGTGTTTGAAACCAGGTAAAAGGTGAGGAAGGTGTTGAGCAAGAGACTACACAACCATCTTGCATAAGGCATCAGTCAGTTTACTATTACAAAAGCTGGAATCTGCTTTGGCTCTGGATTTTTTTTTGTGTGTGTGTCTGTTAAATCATACCCATCTGTAATTAGTTACTCAACACGCCAGGCAACAGGTTTAGTCAGCTACCTGAAACAGCACTCCAGACCAGCATCACTATGTTATACTCTAAGTGTATCTGGATATACAAAGCAATCAGTTGAATTAAAGTTATCAACAGCTCCATCATTGCCTTACTTTGTGGTTCCAGTTTCTGGATGATAGGCATAGCACTTGTCATGGCTACCGAAGTAATTGTCTTCACTCCTTTCTCTGCTATCTCACATACTGACTTCAGGTAAGGGTGGTTATCCTTTGTGGTGATGTAAGCTGTCGACACCATATCATAGGTGGAGCTCACCAAGGGAAGGTTGACAACCCTTGATACAATGTTCTGTTTGAAAGGGAAAGATAGTTAGATGACTCCTGTTTTCCTGAACCGGATAAAAAAAACCTATGGAGCTAACTCAGACGTACCTGCTGTGGATCAATTGCTGCCAATGCCATTTTTTCAGGTGTTGAGTCTTACACAGCCTGTGAAAGAAGCATATCTGAGTTACGGCACCCTCATATCCACTTCATCTAATCACCAGACTTTGAAACCAACAACAGTTTTGTAATCAACCCCATTGATCAAGGGGATTAGGATGTTCACATTTTTGCATACAGGAATTACATTTTATTATAACAATTTACAAATCCAAAACTTTGTTTCCTAATTACTTTGTTTGGTTTAGGCAACACAAGTAGGGCACATGCAAGACACAGGCTTTGAGGTACAGCAGTGCATTGCAGAATTACCCAAGAGTTACTGACTGATTTTTTCAAAAATTGATTTTTCAAGAGGAAATAGATACACTTGGGCTTATCTGTTGAGCCAGGACAAAGAAATGCCAGCCAACAAGTCACTAAAACTCTAGTTTAGGATGTCTAAGTCAGGTGAAGAATCCACTACCAATACCTTTAATCAGATTAGGTCTTCTGTTAGCATAAGGAAGTCAAGTTTGAAATTTGAGTCATCATTGCTGTCCAAATCTTGAAAACACGTGGAAGATTGAGATGAAGTACTCATTTCAGTAACCTCAGTTCAGTTCTTACAAGTCATTCCACTAAACTCGAGGAGTTCATTATCCCTAGTGCCATGCCTGATGCCCACATAGGGCTCCCCCTGCTCAGCTTGTTCAGAAGTTAGCATTCCTGTAACACAGAGAGCGTAGGGCCTTCTCACTGCAGAAAATAACCCTCCTTTATGCTAATTTAGACTTAAGTATTACCCATCCTACACAGAAACAGGCTGCAGATACCAGTCATACAACAAGCCTACACTACTCAATTGTTTTCCAACACGTATTCCCATGGAGAAAATACTAACAGCTCTCCCCATATGAGCTCTATAAAAGGAGAGAGGTTTTGCACAACCACACAAGGAGCACACAGAAGTGCACTGTCATCGTATACACACATGCAGGCAGAACTAAATCTGCAAGAAGCACTTTTTGCCTTGATGGTTTCAGATGAAAGTTGAGTTCCAGAAGAACCTGCATAATAAAGGCAACAGAGAGGCAAGCTAGAAGTCAGTCCTCAAAAGGACTGGAGTTTTCAAGGCTATGACAGTATCAAAACGAGTGTATTAATATTCTGCCTAGGGTCAAGTAAAACTTTTCCCTGTTGCATAATGAGGAACAAGGACAGAGGCAGGCTGTTAATATTTTACAGGCATATTTGCACATATTAACACACACATGCCATAAGGTAAATGCCTGTAATGAGATTAACCACTGTACATGGGACATAAAAGCAGGTAACAGGCAAGGGTTACAGCAGTAGCAGAGACTCTGAAATGCCCCCAGAAACATGTTATGTTTTTCACATAGCATTACAAGTCAGGTTACTTCGAGTACAACTAAAGCTCACTATGAACTCCAAAGCATGCTGTAGAACAGAAGCAGTTAACGGCACAGAATCTGGCCTCTGAAGGAAGGTGCCTTTACTTTTAGGATCAATCAGTATTTGTAATGTGTCCCAAAAGATCCACCCACACACAGCATGGATTTGAATTTTAGTCATTAAAATAGGAAAGTTACTCAGCAAAGTTATTCCTGCTCTTAAAGACAGGGAAGATAGCACAGTTTCAGATATCCCTTGAATAGTTTCAGCTCCGGTAAAAGTCAGATCGACTTCACAGGAGACTGTGAGCAAGGTGCCCAAATCAAAGCCCACGGCACATAAGCGTATTTCAGAGACGGCAGAAGATCCTGAACAGGAAAGCGCATAAAGTCAGTCACAAATTTAACTTGTACTTCCCCACCCCTCCTCTGCTATGGAAATAAGTTAAAGACCAGAAAGCAGCGTGACGGGCCGTGCAGAAGAGTCAAGAAGCTTGCCCTGGCTAACGGCGGGGCCCAAGGCAGGAGGAAGGCGCCCCAGCTGTCACCAGGGTCCTACCCAGCCATGGAGCAGCCCAGGGCCCCTGCCGGGGGCGGATGAACGTCTCAAGACTTTCTGGTCTCCGGGTGCCTTCAGCAGCCTACCGCAATACACCGGGATTCAGGGAGGGAGTACCTCAGGGGCGATGACGGCCACAAAGGGAGC